AGACCAGCCTGGACTACCAAGCGAGTTCCAGGACAGCATCCAAAGCCACAGAGAAACCCTGTCTCGAAAAACCAAAAAAACAACAACAACAACAAAAAACACAAAACAAAACAAAACAAACAAAAAAGAAGAAAGGCTGCACAAACCATGGAGTGTAAGGGTTAGCAGCACCCCTCCGTGGCCTCTACACGAGCTCCTGCCCCCAGGTTCCTGCTTGAGTCGCTGTCCTGACTCCCTCCACGATGAACAGTGATGACCCATGAGCCAAATTTTCCTCTTCGAGTTGCTTTTGGTCACGGTGTTTCATCACGGCAAAAGTAACCCTGACTAAGACAACAAGATAATGCTTCCAGCCTCGAAGACTATTCTCTGTGGCTTATTAATGAAAAACGTGCTTGTGAGTTAGGGAACAGACGCATCTGTGTACTTGATGTGTACAATGCTGGTGACCACAGTGAGACACTTAAAGGAAACTGGGGGGCAGCTGCTCTCATGTCTGTTTGTAATAGGATCATTTAGGGGCCTTAGAAAGACTCTACCTTAAACATGAATGGATTAATCATGTTAGTGCAAAAGGCTCTTAGTGGTTGAGAAACATTGCTTTGGGTCTCTGTTTGCTAACTGCGAACTGGCGTTAGCCTGGTTGCACACAGAGATGCTGACTTTATGTACCCTCTAGGTTCATTCCTCTAGCCAAAGCACCTTTCTGTGAAACAGCAGAAACGGCTTCAATTCACATCTGTACCAGTAGAGGTCACTGTGCTAAAGGAAATAATAAACTGGAAGCCCGGCATAGTCTTTGAGGAACTCTGGTCACTCACACCTACTAGCCATGATTATTGCATCAAAGAATCTGAAGGCTTAGTTGTTAGGTACATACATATCTTTAGATTCTGTGTGTGTGTGTGAACGAACACGTGGGGTCACAGGGTGGCTTCAAATGCAGGTCCTCTCCTATGACCTTGTTTGAGGTAGTCTCTTTGCTGCTGCTGCATACACTATGCTAGCTGACCCACAAACTTCTGGAGTTCTGTCCTGGGGTTACAGGGGAATTCTACTGTATAGGGTTCTGGGAATTCTCGAGACTTGAACTCAGGTTCTCACACTTTATAGGCCAGAGCTTTACCCACTGAACCATCGCCCTGCCTGACCTTTTATAAACTAATGCTGAAATATTAAACTGCACAAAATAGGGATGATCTATGATATTTTATTATTTATTTGTTTGTTTGGTTTTTGGAGACAAGGTTTCTTTGTATTGTTTTGGAGGCTATCCTGGAACTCACAGAGATCCGCCTGCCTCTGCCTCCCGAGTGCTGGGATTAAAGGCGTGCGCCACCACCGCCCGGCTTGACATGTTATTGAGAGAGAGAGATCACTTATGTGAGAAGCCAAGAAAGTGGAGAACAAAAGGTCTGCATGCTGCTATCCAGGCCAAAACCCGGAACCCAAAGAGTCTCCAGCTCTTTTATCCCCGTAAGTTCTAGGAGCCTGTGAACACACCCACATGGGTGTGGTCAGCGCTACGGGTACATAAGATCTCTCCCTACAACAAACCACCTCTGACTCTAGTAATATTTTCCTTCTCTGCAGGACCCCAATCCCACTTTGTTTCTATTTCAGACATGCTGGCCTAGAACATTTTTTGTCTCAGGAACTCCTGTGTTTTTAAACGTTCAGTTAAACCATTCAGCCTTTCTCAATTCGAAATCTGTTCCATCTGATGAGGAGGGGCGCCATCTCGTGCCTGGCTTTCCTCACTTTCGCTGTCCTGAGACAGCGTTCCTACACTGTCTGCTGACTGAGCACTTGCTCACAGATCTAGAAGCGGCCTGGCCTGTGAGAACCGGGCTGGGAAATCCGACAGACTCAAGTCTGCGCCGGCACCATGGCTGCCTGCTGCCATCCTATTGCATGCGCAATACCCAACCTCATTCAGGGCCTCAGACACCCACACTCTGGGGGTCAGAGAGGCCACACAGGGCGAGTGCTCATGAGTTCAAGCTGTGTGCAATCACGACGACGAGCCACACGGGGCAAACATGCCTTTCCATAGAGACATAAAGCATCTAACTGAGTAACACCTGCGAGCAATCATGAGCAAACCGACGTAAACTCAGCCTATCCGCTACCCTGGGGAGGAGCACGAAAACACAATCCGAGTGCGAGTCCATGTTCTAAAGAAACGAGGTCATGAGACTCTTGTTTTCTTGGAGCTTTCTCACAAGCACTCAGAATTCTCCTCAGATGATTCTATCTTGGATCATGTTCTGACAACTAGGCTTTTCTCCTCCTCCTTTTATTATTACAATTATTTTATTTTGAGACCGGATTTCTCTACATAGCCCTGGCTGTCCTGGAACTCGCTCTGTAGAGCAGGCTGGTCTCGAACTCACAGAGTTCCTCCTGCCTCTGCCTCCCGAGTGCTAAGATTAAAGGCGTGTGCCACCATGCCCGGCTTGTGCTAAAGGTTTAAGACATTACACACACTCCTAGATCATGGGTTTTGCAATGATAGATTCTATCAAATTTCCCCTCTAATAAAGTAGTATTAATTTATGTTTGTACCAGTGGTAATTGGGCAGAAACTCTCTATTTATCAGTACTATATAATACAAATTGTGGTGGCCTGAATAAAGATGGTCCCCACAGGCTCATGTATTTGAACGTGCGATCCCCAGTTAGCGGAACTGTTTAGGATCAGGATTCATGACTTTATTGGAGGAAATCTTACTGGGGATGGGCTTTGAGGTCTTAGCTTTCTCTGCCTCTCATCCTCTGTCTCCTCCTCGTGGATAAGGATGTGAGCTCTCAGCTACTGCTACAGCACACCATGACTGCCTGCATCATGCCACACACAACACCCCCCATTATGGTCATGACTCACCCTCTGAAACTGTAAGCCCCTGATAAACTTTTACAAGTTTGTCTTGGTCATGATGCTTTGCCACACAATTGAAAAGTAACTAAGATATTAATTAGGAGTTTTTCTCTCCCTAAGCAAAAAAACGAGGGATTTGCCTTTATTCTTGTATATAGTGCCAATAGGACTGGGCTTCTTATTAAAGGATATACACATGGACCCTAGATCGACCATGATGAGTTCTTCACAAGGATTTCATCAAGGTCAGATGAAACCATCCATTCACATATACAACCATTATGATGAAGTTAAAATATTATGGAGAATACTAGCAAGATGGTTGCTGCCACATTAATTCTTCCATGAAGACATAAGTATCTATTCACCCCAGATAGAGCCCCAAACACAGACTAAGCTAAGCTGTCCACCCAAGTCCAACTTGATGAGCCAATGAGTTTATCAGGTTTCCTTGCAGAGTGTGGCTGCTGCCACTGCTACAGGCGTGTGGGCAAACCAAAGCAGCTGTGTGCTGCCAAGTTCCACCCAATCCTGGATGACAGCTTTGTGGAAGGCAAGAGTCCCTTGTACCTCTTTCAGGCAGCTTGACTGACAGGAGTCTCCTATCTCCAGTGATTCTTTACTGCTTGTGATGGCTGCCCTCGGCTGTCACGCTGACTACACCTGGAATGAACTGATGTCCACGTGGAGGGCACAGCTGTGAGGGATTTCTGCTTAATTTGGAGCAGGAGGATCCACCTCTAATCCAGATCTTTGAGACAGGAAGAGCCACCACTAATCTGGGTCACACCTTCTGCTGGAAGCCAATACAAGGACAGGGAGAAGGAAGGTTTTACTCACTGCCTCTTGCTCTCACCTCACTAGGAAGTCCATTCCTTCACGTGAGTTAGAGCCTACTTCTTGGAAATTCTGGTGCACACTGAAGACCAGTTGAGACATCCAGCCTTGTGGACGGAACAACTAGTGAATTCTTGGAACTTCTGTTGATAGGCAACCATTGTTTGATTAGCTGAACCACAATCTGTAAGTCATTCTAATAAGTCTCCCATACACACACACACACAAACACACACAAACACACACACACAATGTAATCCCCTTTATATGTGTGTGTGTATATATCAGAGAGAGAGAGATCCATTTTATAATCTCTCTGACTGACTGACACACTGCCTCTGTAATCCGGAGGGACCTTGCAAATCTCACAACTCTTAGGAACTTCCTGACTCTTATAAGCCTGTCTTGCTTCCAGGATAGTTCTCAACCTTCCTAATACTGTGGTCCTTTAATACAGTTCTTCATGTTGTGGTGGCCCCCAACCATAAAATTATTTCATTGCTACTTCAGAATAATTTTGCTACTGTTATTAACCACAATGTGATTATCATATAATCAATATATGGTATGCAGGATATCTGATATTTGACCCCCAAAGGAATTGTGACCCACAGGTTAAGAACCACTGCTCTAAGAGGAGGAAACCGCTCCCCACAATGGGAACACTAAGAACTTATTTGTAAGAGGGTCCCAGAAGAACATGATCAAAGAACAGATGGTTAGGGAGCAGTGATGCGTTCAGCCTGTGTGTCTGCTCACAGAGGAAGAGGAACAGGGCTGCAGCTCCAAGCGCCTGGCTTTTGTTGCTTGGGGCTGTGGTCAGCTTGAACATCTGCTGCCCACCCTTTCCGCATGTCCATCATCTTTGGAGGCCCCAGGCCAGAAGAGAAAGAAGGTGGTCCCTATCTCAGCTTTAGGTCTTCCCCCAAAGGCCTGCATCCATCTTCCCCCTGCATCAGGGGCGAGAAGACAAGGCTAGGACCATGGCTCAGTGAGTAAGCATTCTTGCAGTGCACTCGTGGGCACCTGAGTGGACCGCTAGCACCCACACGAGGCTGGGCACCGTCATGCACACCTGTAACCCCAGTGAGGACGGGCGAGGCTTCCAGGTTCAGTGAGAGGCACTGACTCAGGGAATGGAGTAGAGAAGGAAAATGAAGATGTCCAAAGCCCTCCTCTAGCCTCCACAGGCACATGTGTGTGTGCATACACAAGCATACATATTTACACACACTAGTGCACACACGTACATACGTGCACACATGAATGACCAAGTCTCCCAAAAGTGAAATTTTGGTTTTATTTCAACTGACTGTAGCAGATGATAACAAACTGTTTCTTTTTCGAAATCAGCAGCCTACACTAAGCCCATGGCCTCCATGCATCTCTTCCCTAGCAGCGTCTGCTTCTCGTGCAGCGTCGTCCTCTAGGCACTGCGGTGTGAGGTGCTCACATTCGTCTCCTGCCTTCTGTGTCTGCGCAGCCTTTTACACCTCAGCTGGCTTCTAGCTGACCTCAGAGGCAGGGACATCTGAAGTCTTCTGGATATTTAGAGATTATGGTTTAAGTCATACCATAAAGTTAGTTCAATTTACTCTAGTGCTTCTAAAGTGATTTTTTTTTATTTTTAAGACTTTAAAATTGTGCATATGTGATATATGTGCACATGAGTGTGGGTACTTAAGATAGTTCAACTTATTCTAGTGTTTCTAAAGTGAATTTAATTTTTAAGATTTTTTAAAAATTGTGTATAGGTGATGTATGTGCACATGAGTGTGGGTACTCATGTAGGCCAAGAGAGGGCACTCAATCCCCTAGAGCTAGCATTACAGGCAGCTGTGAGCCTGTTATGGGTGCTGGGAACCATACTGGTCCTCTGCAAGAGCAGTGTGTGTTCACTGCTGAAACACCTTTGATGCCCCTAAAGTACATCCAAGAACAAAGGCTCTGACGGAGCAGGCTCCAAACCCCAGCCTGTCCTTCAGTGACCCTAGGAATGTCTAGGCAGACTGAGGTAGAGAGAGGTACAGAGGAGACTTGAATTCTCATAGCTTGAACTCAGGTTTAGGTTAAAACTGTTATACTAATTTCTGGAGGGAGTCTGAGGTAAAAGAGGAGACAGAAGAAGAGTTCCATCAAAGAAAGGAAGTCTTGAAGAAAATAGACGAGATGGCACCTATCTATACAGGGTTAGAGTCCTGAGGACCACTCCTGACTAGGGTCAGGCCTTAGAGGATGGCACTGGGGTAGAGTTAATTTGTCCTCTGACCTGGATAGAGAACAGAGCTGGTTATCAGACATGGCCAGAAGCCAGCTGCTGGAAAAGGAGATCAGCATTCAAGCTGATTATAACAGCTGCAGTTTTAGTGCTTCTAGGTCTTCTCCAGGCAGGCTAGTGGGGGCCAGGCCACATCTTCAGTCTTCTTTAAGCAACAGAGAACTTGAGCCAAGTGGTGTGGTTGTACTCCTCCTCAGGCTGCAGCAGCACCGGAGGGAACCGGGGCTGCAAGGGAAATCAGCAGTTAGACCTCGCCAGCCATCCCCTGCACGAGGCTCTAAGCCATCGTTGTGGGCTGGTACCTGTGAGGACAGTGTGTTACCGATTTGCAGTGAAATGAACGGGAATCTACCATAGCCAAGCCACTTTGTCAAAGCAAGACTTGGCTACAGGAGCCGATGCCTTGATTTATACTCTGGAGTAACACACAAGCTTCTTCCCAGGGCTGGCAGTGTGAGCAGGAGTGCTCCAAGCAGCAAGCAGAGAGGAAAGGAGAGAACAAACAGGAAGAAAAGATTTGGAAGGCCTTGTGGAACGGGGTGGGCCGGCAAGATGGTTGAGTGGGGAAAGGTGAGTTTTCTCACTGGAACCTCCCCCACAAAGGGCAGAGAATGAGTGGGAATTGACAAGGAGAGACACTGAGCAAAGGTGCTGACGGCTTTAACAACGGTTACTGAGCTATGGGTTTTCTGTGGTTGTATAATCTGAAAAGCACAAACAGACTGTCAGGACCTGCCACACCGTGTGACACTGAATCAACGTCACTCTGACAAGCTAGCTTGCGGCTTTACCTGATTGACTGCATCAGGCCAGTTCTGAGTCTCGAGGCAGAAGCCAGAGTGCTTGGGGTAGACTGCTCCACCCTTGCCCCTCAGAGTGCCATCCAGGAAGTTGCCCGTGTAAAACTGGACGCCAGGTTGGGTGGTGTATACTTCCAGGACCCGCCCACTTCCAGCATGGCGCACCCTGGAGACAAAGACAAGTCGTATCTGAGCTTTCCGGGAAGGAAGAGGTCAAGAAACAGCTTTGGGGCGGGAACCAGACCTGGCTACACAGGGAGGGCGAAGAGGATTTGGGAGATAAGAATAGGATGGAGATTATTCTGGGAGCTGCCCAGGGAAGGCATGAGCTGTTGGCTTATGAGGACCCTCAGAAACAACTTCTCAGATGATGTTGGCCTGGGACCTATCTGGGGCATGGTAACACACAGTCATGGGGGTCAGGGAGGAGCAGCCGGGCTAGCGAGAGGCAACTCTGGGCCTTGAGGGTCTTCTGCTGTGATGCTGGACTTGTACTTGCTGGTGAGCACGCTGTCACTGCTACTGAGATACAGTCCCCAAGGGTGTGGCCCAGGCTGCACTGGGGCTCACAGAGCTCTTCCTGCCTCTCCTTCTGCAGTGCTGGGATTAAAGGCACATGCCCCCATGTCCAGCCACGGAGTCTGAAACATTTACTTTGTTTTGGGTTTTCAAGACAGGGTTCCTCTGTGTAGCCCCATTTGGCCTGAAACTCACTCTGTAGACTAGGCTGGCCTCAAACTCACAGAGATCCACCTGACTCTGCCTCCCAAGTGCTGGGATTAAAGGCGTGCGCCACCACTCAGCCGGGGTCTGTACTTCTTGCCACGGGGATATAAAAAAAGGCTGGTGTCAGAGTCTTACCAGGAAATCACACAAGAAACCATTCAAACAAAGAATATTGCTGTGCCAGGGGGATGGCTCAGTCACTACAGCGCTTGTACAAGCCTGGCCCTGAGAACCAATTTCTGAAAGAATCCCCCTTCTTCCCCACAATGCACACTCATAATAATAATGTAATTTAAAATTTAAATGCAAAATACACTGTCCACCAAGAGGCTGGAGAAAATGTCTGGAAGAAGGGGCCCAGATGTGGGATCAATGGGGAGAAGACAGGGTAGAGGCGCTGAGGGGAGGAGCAGGGCGTCTTGAGCAGGTGGAACTCAGAGGCCCTGGTTCCTAGAGCTCCAGGGAGATCTGGGAAGCCCTGTTTGTCTCTATCAGGGGTCTGAGTTACCTCTCCCCAGACTCCTTAGTCTACAGTCACGCCCTGACTAGTTGACTCTAGGAACGGGATTTGTGTAAGAAGAGTGTGTGCACTCACTGGACTACAAACTGGGGTGGGAGTGGTGAGAGCTAAGAGGAGTGCAGTCTCCAGTCCTGACCTGGGACTGTCCCAAGGGCTCTGGACGCTCAGTGAAAGCAGGAGTGACCCAGCAGAAGAGGGACTTACAGGACAGGCAGAGGCGGGAAGCCAGAGAGGATGCTGGGGAGGATGAACTCTACAGAGGTCACTCATGGCACAGGAATTCCCAAAGCTGTGGGATATGGCATTTGACCCTGGCTCCTATCAAACGCTGAAGCTGTCATAGGGAAAGCTCCTACAAGAACTGCTATTTCTTCTCCCCTACAGAGGCAATAAGGACAAAGTTCCCAACCGTGCACAGAAATGCTTTTCTTTCGATCCCGTCAGACAGAAATTGTGGTCGAAACCATGGAGGTGATGATCCTGCAGGTGTTTTCCAAGCTCCACTGGCTTTCTCAGGTCAAATGCGGTTCCTTCCACTGGAGCAATGACTCCTGGGAAGAGAGTGGAAACAATAGAGGCAGCTGTTACTAAGACCAAAGCTTTGCATACACCATCTTGAGAGCCTACTGGTCCTGGTCTCTCAGCCTTCGTTTCAGTGTGTAGAGGAGAATGAGTTGAGGGTTCCCTTGATCAGAATATGCAACTGATTACCAAATGCAGTATTTAAAACATAAAAGTAGCAAAAGGGTGGGACCAGCTCTGTTGGTAGAGCCCTCCCAGAGCACACAAGAAACCCTGGGAAACTAGAAGCCATGGTCCACATCTGTGATCCCAGCACACAGAGGTAGAGGCAGGGGGGTCAGAGGCTTACATGTGCCAGTTGTGGTAGTGCACACCTTTAACCCCAGCACTTGAGGCAGAGTTCAAGGCCAGGATGGTCTACTTAGTGAGTTCCAAGACAGCCAGGGTTATGTAGACATACCCTGTCTCACCCCCCCCAAAAGATTAGATCTTGTCTCAAAAACCCCCAAATACACATACAAAAAAATTTGAGTTGGGGAGATAGTTTAGTGGGGAAAGCTTTTGTCCTGCTGCATCCAAATGCTCAAAACCAGTGTAACAGCTGGACTCAACAGCACTCATTTGTAATCCAAGCATTCCTACGACAGGATGGGATGCAGAGACAGGAGAATTGTGGGAAGCTTGTGGGCCAGCTATCCTAGTGTATGCAGAGGGGACAAGAGAGACCAAAACTCACACCAGGTGAACAGTGCGTGGCAGAGCACGGTCCAGGAATGGAGTCGGATGAGGAGTGTGTCTAGGAGAAAACTGAGTGCTTGTGAGAAAACTTCAAGAGAATAAGGATAAGAGTCTTGTGACCTCAGTCTCTTCAAAACCACTGAATTATTCTCGGAATGTGTTTTGTGCCCCTCCCAGGTGTAGCAGACAGGAGGGAGTTCACTTCAGATTATTAATCACAACTGGCTGCGGTTATGTGTTTATATTCCTCTATGGAAAACACACTTTTGCCAAGTACGGTCTGACTGTTACTTGCAGTGATTGGACACTTCACCTTATCCGGTGCTCTGAATAAAGCTGGCTATTGCATGAGACTCTGGTCCACCTCCTTTATTGGCTCCATATTCCCAGGTCCCACTGACTCCAGAGAGGCAAACAGGTGAGGGCTGATACATGAAATTGTTCTCTTAACCCCACACATTCGCGTACAGGTGTGCATCTGCACTTACAACCACAAAAATGCACACACACACACACACACATCATATGCACACACATATGAATGAAGCTTTTTAAGAGTGTGTGCACAAGTGTGTGTGTACGCATGAATGTGGGGACACCAGACCTTGAGCAGAAACCCACTTCCCCTTCGGCCTGGGAGCAGGCATCTGTGTAATGTTTACTGGAAACAATTCAGTGCTTTAAAGCTTCATAGGGCTCAGATAAGGGCTTGCTCACTGAAATACCATGACTGTCACACCCCCTACGGCTAGATGCCTCTTCCTGTCCCTGCCCCCTGTGGTGTCTCCCCGATTCTGGGGCCGGAGATTAAACCACCAGCCAGGAGGGTGAGAAGTAAAAAAAGAATGGTATGTAAATGGATGGCAAAAGTCCTTAAAAAGGGAAGCTCTTTTTTCTTGGAGAGACTTCTCCTGAGACTTCTCCTGAGACTCCTCCTGAGAGCTCTCCTAAGCGGACTGGGGTCTCCTCCTAAGCTGACTTGGGAAGCATAAAGTTTTCTTAAAGCAACCGACCGGTCTCTGTGTCATCTATCCCGACCACCTCGCTACATTCTCGGATGCAGGCCGCACAGCAGGTGCGACACATGAATGCAGGTGTCTGTGAGGTCCAGAAGCAGGTGTCAGGTCTCCTGCAGCTGCAGTCACAGGTAGTAGTGAGACACCCCACATGGTGCTGGGAGTCAAACTGGGGTCTTCCGCTTAGTCATCCTCCAGCCCCTGAATTTTTTTTAAGTGAAAAAAAAATCAAGGAAAGGCATATTCTTCATTAAGAATTGTGATGATCAGTCATCGTCAACACCACAGGATGTAGAACCCTCTAGAAGACACACCCTGTCAAGCTGTTTCCAGAAAGTTCAAAGAGGAAAGACCCCGAATATGGTTGCCCATTTCATTGTCTGGAGTCTCAGACTGAATAAAAAGGGAAAAGGGAGGCAGGTGGCTGAGCACTGTGACCCCCCCTGACTTGAGGGACAGGCTGCCTCAGGCTCTGGCTGCCACAGTCCAGAATAGTCACTAAGCCAGACTCCCCACAGTAATTAACTGTGCCCTCTTAAATCATGAGCTCTTAGGTTGCTCTTAAACAGGTGCTTGTTACAATGATGAGAAAAACCATGACTACAAGGTTAAGTTGGACAAAGGGTAATGGTTGCTCTATCCTTGGGCTCATAATGAAGCTTTAGCCATGAGTGACCGGACTCTAGCAAGTCTGGGATTAGTGACTCTTTTCTTCCTCAGAGACCGGGTTTCTCTGTTCAGTCCTGACTGTCCTGGAGCTCACTCTGTAGACCAGGCTGGGCTTGAACTCACAGAGTTCCACCTGCTTCTGCCTCCCTAGTGCTGGGAATTAAAGATGTGTGCTACCACCTCTTGCCTGAGATTCGTAAACCACTGTGGGCCAGTATTAGCTAAAGGGACATCGGCAATTACCCTGTTCCAGGCACATCCCTATCAGACTGTAGACACTCCAATCTGTGTTGAGAACAGTTAGTGCTTCTGGAACAATCGAGAGAAAGCTGGGATGCATGGTCATTCTGTGGACTGCCACTTGACTCAGCGCTTTGAGGGATGCAGTGCCTAGGTGAGTTATGGTTTGGTGAGCACTGCTTCCCTGTATGCAAGCCAGATTCCCCAGGTTCATCACAATGACACAGATGAGTGGCCAGTCCCGAAAGGACCCTACTGTGTGCGGACCAAAGAGCAAACCATAGAGGAGATGTGGTGGTCATCATACAACAATGCCAAGTCCAGAGCATCTCTGTTCAGCAATACAGAGGTCAAGAGACCATCACAATAATTAAGGCTGGGCAGATGGTGTGTACCTTTAGTCCCAACACTCAGAAACAGAAGGATTTCTGTGAGTTTAAGGGCAGCCAGGGCTCCGTGATCCCATCTTAAAAACAAAACCAAAAACAAAGCCACTGAAATAATTATGTAAGTGAAAAGAGAACCAGCTTGGCTATTAAAGCCCTTTAGTTCTGCTTTTTTTTTTTTTTTGGTTTGGTTTTTTTTTTTTTTTTCGAGACAGGGTTTCTCTGTATTGTTTTAGAGGCTGTCCTGGAACTCGCTCTGTAGACCAGGCTGGCCTCGAACTCACAGAGATCCGCCTGCCTCTGCCTCGAGAGTGCTGGGATTAAAGGCGTGTGCCACTCACGTCCAGCTGTCTCTTAACTTTTTCTCAAAGTCATTCTTGACTCACAGTCTAAACTTTGTGACAGTCCTAATGATTATGAACACTTCCCCATAAGGTATAGAGAGAGAAGACTCTAGGAAATAAAGGAAGCCATGGAATTTCATGACAGTGACACAGGGCACACTGTAGACCCGTTTCACCGATACTGAGCGAACTGCAAGATGTCCTTTTCTGTGACTCCCACAACATTCTGGTAAAGTCCAACTGACCTTTGAGCTGGCTCATCAGTTAAGAGCAAACTGGCTGCTCTTCCAGAGGACCCAGGTTCAATTCCCAGCATCCATATGGTAGCTCACAAAATGCCCACTAACACCCATTCCAGGGGATCTGAGGTCCTCCTCTTCTGGCCTCTGCAGGCACACAGAATAAATGCAGGAAAAACAAATACCCACACATAAAATAAAAAGACACTCTCTACGTCATGCACGGTGACACATACTTGTGATCTCAGCAATACAAGGATGAGGCAGGAGCATCACCGTGAGCATCACATCTGAGGTACAGACCCTATCTCAAGACACCAGTGACAATAACAGGGGGAAACTGTAATCTACAGCCAAGAACGGTGCTGTATGCAATGCCAGCCCCTGGGGGCTGGGCAAGAATATCTCAAGTTTGAGGTCAGCACACCGACATGAACTGGAGCCTTTGCTTAATGGGAAAGTTGAGACTGCCTGAACCAATGTGGAAAACAGGAGCCATTACGAAGGCGGCAGCGCTCTGTGACAAAGTCAGAATGCCTGTCCAGAAAGGCCTTGTGAGCCGCCTCATCCAGACAGACCCCTCACCTTGCAGAGAGAGACACTAACCCAGGTGCAAAGGGACTTGCCTGACACAGCTCGAGAGCCTCTGAGTCTCCAGATGTCCCTGGAGGCCCTGTGTGACTCACTACAATGTGTCTGCCTTGATGACAGCACCTTCCGCCCTAAGCCCCCAAGTTCTCTTGGTTTTTCTAAGATTCTGGAAAAAGAGCACGTTCTTTTAACTTTGGTTAACCTGCATATACGAGTTTCTGCTTTGTGCTAAGAACAGGAAAGAGACGTCAATCATGCTTTAGCAAAGCTGTGTGTACAGAAAATGAAAAGGAAATGGAAAATGTGTTCTCAGAGAGGATGCCATATCATGGCTCTAGTTTAGAAGTCACCAGGTATTTCCTTCCTTCCTTCCTTCCTTCCTTCCTTCCTTCCTTCCTTCCTTCCTTCCTTCCTTCCTTCCTTCCTTCCTTCCCTCCCTGTCCATTCATCTCTCATGTGCAGCAAAACCTAAAGCCTGGCAGTTGGTAACCTCTGACCCAAAGATGTGGCGGTACAGCTCACGGGCGCAGGAGTGACTTGACTGAACCTGCTTCCTCATTCCAGCAAAGCCTGAGGACACGCAGCAGTGAGGACACACAGATGCTGTTCACATGGCTACAGCCTGAGACCTGAAGCTGCAGGGAAGTAGCTGTGGTTGAGTGTGGGCGGACTTAACATCTTGGGGCTTGCTTGCAGTCAGCAAGGGGAGGGAGAGAGGTGAGAGAGTGGAGAGCACTCTCAAAGGGGCGCTGCAGCGATGGCTCCTGGCCTAAGCTGCGGTGGGGTAGGGTGAAGGGAGGTCCTGA